TAGACACATTGGTATGTTGAGGAGACTCACCTCTCAAGAATGTTGAACTGATAAGATAGGATCAGATAAGTCCCAACGTGCAGCTCCAACTCAACTGCAATAGTCCACAAGATGGTCAAGCTCAAGAGTGAGGGCTTTGTTTGCTGGATCTTCACCTTCTTCTCACTATCTTCCTCTTCTTAAGCTCCAAAAGTCACTCTAGCTCACAATATGAGAGAAAACGGAGATTAGGGTTTAGCGCTGGCGTTCTTAGGGTTTAGAGGCTTATGGAAGGTCAGCCTCAAGGTTTTAAGGAGATTATATAGGGTGCAAACCCTAAAATTTAGGGTTTTCCTTTTACAACGTCTACTCGTCGAGTTGGGCCTTCCAACTCGTTGAGTAGGTCCTAAATCCCGCGTCCCATAAATGATCTCTACTCGACGAGTTGGAGCTCCCCAACTCACGAGTTCCAGTCTAAAACCCTAAATAACTTAGAAAATCCAATGATACTTGGAACAGGCTTTACAAAATCCTTAAAAATAATCCATATTTATCGATCTCACATCATTTAACGTTCATCAGTCATCGAAACTTTATCAATCTAACATTGATCAACATCAAACGACATACATCATTTATAAATCATCAATTTAACCAAACAACTAAAGAATTTTGTAAAACTCATTTTCCAGGTTTGCAAAACATCTTTTTTCATACTTCTTTTTTCATAATTTTTATCTCAATCTACTGATTAATCATCAATTTTGATACGATTTGATTTGAGTTGTAATTATTGGCTCCAACTGTTCATGTTTTACGATAATTATATATTTTATTTTATTTGCACACAAATTGTTTGATGAAATACATATATTAAATATAACATGTAATATTCACAAGTGAATGTCTTTAGACGATAATCAATGTGTGTCTTTAAAAACACAGAGCAATTATGTAATTTAGGTGTGAATAACATATAAAATTTATATTCACATGTGAATATATATAAATATTCACAAATGGATATATATGTAATAATCACATGTTGATATATGTAATTTTCACAAATGAATAAAACTATCAAAACCGAGGAGTACAAAATTTATGGCATTAAAGTTAACAAAGTATTTGATAAGAATATATATATATATATATATATATATATATATATATATATATATATATATATATATATATATTCACATACGTATAAACTTTTTATGGTTAATAAAACAATCATATAAACATATTTTTTGTTTCGGGGATATATTTACAATAAACGACAACTTTTTTTCAAAAAATCAGATATGTCGTTTTGAGACCCTAAACTGTCCCGAATGGACAAAAAGCACCATACATCTCGACGAAACATTAAGTTTTATAAATCTCACCATTTCCAATCCACGGTGCGAATTTTGTTCAAATCTGAGACTAAACACCGTTACGACAATTTATTTGATGATGTCACTATATTTTCATTCCCACTAGTGATGATATCATCATGACATGTTATATAAATTGAAACTCTCATGACCTTTCAAAATTCCAATAAACTCTCATAAGCTTTTAAATTTCTAATAACATATAGAATGTTTAATTAACGCGAGATAAATAGGAAAAAAAAACTTTATACCTATGTTTTAATCTTTTACAAAATTTTGATAATAATAAGCGACTTTAAAATTAATTAATAATAATATACTACAATAACAAAAAAATTATTAATTACACTACATTACGTTATAAACATTGATATTTCAAAATGACAAAAAGAAATTTTAAAAATAGTCAAATACGTAATTTTTAAATCATTTAACCATAACAAAAGTTAAAACTAACATTAAATTAATAGCTATATTTAACTTTATTCACGAATAAGCAGCAAGTAGATGTCATTAATTGATTTGATTCTAACAACTGTTTATTTTATTATATCGTTCAAATTAAATAGTTACAATTATACATATCAACACAATATAAAAATTATTAATTCATAATTAATGTCAATAACATAATCATTTTCAACAACAAATATTTGTCAAATTTTACCTATATATATGAATAACGTTTAGTTATCATTGCGACATATTTTATGATGATGTTACTAACTTCAATCCTACTAGTAAAAACATCATCATAACCAGTTATTTAATTTATTTGAATAAACTATACATTTTGATTTATTCAATTGTGAATACAAATTTTATTTGCAATACACATAACACCCGAAAGTCTTGTCATATACCCTTTTCAATAAATAGAATATTGGCTAGCAATAAGGTTCACATACTCCATTGTCACTCGTAACATAAAACGAAACCAAATGACTTAAGTGATACATGAACTACATCAAATTTATTGAAAAAAAAGTAGGTGTTCTTACTTTACTATAGATTCAAAGTTGGTTGATGTTTTTGCATCATATGTGTATCTCTTACTTCCATTTGTGACATCTTGAAAGTGAAATAAAAAAGAAATAAGAGTTTGTATAAACTAATAGTAGCACCACACCAAGTGATTTAAATATAACTATGGGTATAAAAAGTACCAAAATTTATAGCTCAAAATGTTCAATAAGTTTAACAAAAAAGTACTTTTATCTTTGTGAGAAAATATTACACAAACTTGTAATAGTATCATGATGTTACATTTTAAACCAAAGTTTCATTCATTTTAACATGATCATTGAAAACTCAAATTCTTAAAATATATGTTGCCATATTTTCATGGTTTATGGTGGTTATGTGTACATAAGCCAAATCACCTCTTTAGTTGCACATGAGTAATGCTAACACATCACCATGAGAAAGTTAAAGCACTTTAAAAAAATCACTTTTGTGAAAGAACATGAAGATGATGAATAAGCATGAAAAATTAAGACCCTAGTTGTCGATATCTGTCATATTAATTTATGTGAGAGAGATAGAGGGAGACAGGAGTTATTAATCTGTAGAATTTTCAAAGTGCAATGTTATATTAGTTAGAGTTTTGAAATATAATGTTACAAATGGTTATATTTATTAAGTACAATGTCTAAATAACAAGACAAATGAAAAAAAATGAAAGTATAACTTGGTAACTAGAACCAAACAAGATTAAAATGTCAATGTCTAATGTCTTAAAAAGTCATGTTTCCTTGTGCAATTTCTTAATAAGAAAAAATGAAATTACTTCGTAAATGTAAATTATGAAAGTACAATGTCTTAATCGAAAAAAGTGAAAGTATAATGCTACAATTGGCAATTAAAATTAAATTTCATATTTTTAAAATACATTAATAGGAAAAGAGTAAAAGTATGTCTTAAAATACATTAATAGGAAAAGAGTAAAAGTATGTCTTAATAAGTTGGATTGTGAAAGAATTATGTTAAAATATAAAGATGCTACAATTGGTTAGATTTTCAAAGTATAATGTTTCAATGAGATAAATATTAAAAGTATAATGTTTTAACGGAAAACAAAAGCATGAAGTATAATGACATAGTTGGTAACAAAAACAAGACAAGTATAGGCTTTTAAAGTATAATTTCTATATATGTTAGATTTTATAAGTGTAATGTCTTAATAGGATAAAAAGTTATTAAAGATTTTGAAACATATTGAAAATATAATCCTACAAGTGGTAACCAAAATCAATCATGTTTAAATTTCCCGATAACAAAGGACTATGTTATAAGTGTTTAGATTTTTTTATGAATGTCTTGATAAGAAAAAGTAGAAAGATACAATATTATCATAGTGCACCGTCTTATTAAGAAAAAGTTAAATGTTAGATTTTGAAGATATAAATCTATAAAAGTTGACCAAAATAAAACAAGTTATTTTCAAAATACAAAGCCTTACAATGTCTTAATAGGTTAGATATTGAATCTATAATGCAATACTTGAAATAATAAGGGCTGGTTCCATAAAAGCCCTTAGGTTTTAAAAAATATTGATTTTACCCTTGTGCGTCTTTTGGGGTTAATAAAGCATGAGGTTTTGTTTAATGAGTTTATTTATTGTAATTACCAGGTTTTACCCATTGTTAGTTGTAACCCTCTCTTGAGTCGGCAAGTTGGATCCTACGTGGAATCCTATATGGCAGTCAACGTGATATCCCCCTTCATATCAATTTCATCCTCGCAAGAGTCGGTCAACATTTCTCTCCCACGTAATAATGTCAACATCCTTTGCAAAATCAAGCTCCACAGGGATTTCACGAGGTAAGAAGGGCGAAGTGAAATTTTAGCAATGCCCTAATTATGAGGTAACAATGAATTTGATTTATTTCATCATCCTAAGTTGGTACAAGAAAGTTGTGGGTTTTTCAAATGAGTTTATGATCAACAAGGAAGACTTAAATAGGTTTACAGAACATATACAGATGATGACATTTATGCAGATGGTTGTTGTTTTGTTGGGAGCTTGTTCAGGTTTGTTATAGTAGTGTACAAGATATAGTTGAATTTGATTGTTTTGACATTGGTTGTTATGATAATTGTTGTTTTTAAAAGTACATTGCATAAAATTGTGTTTGAATTGTACTAAATGGTGTTTGGATGGTACTAAACGATACACATTATAAGTACATTGCATAAAATGGTTTTAAAAGCACTTTGCATAAAATGGTGTTTTGATAGTATTTAGATGACTTTAAAAATACATTGCAGAAAATGGTGTTTTAATTTATTCTAAACGGTACACCTTAAAAGTAGATTGCACAAAATAGTACACCCATATTGTACTCTTTTAAATATACATTGCACAAAATGGTATTTGTAATTAAAAGTACATTATAAGAAGGGGTGTAACCATTACATATAGTTAAATTACATAATACCAATATGTAGCAGTCATCCATTTGTACTAAATGCCTAAACAATTCACAAAAAAGGCATCCTAAATGGTAACAAAAGAACAAGTGGAAGTATGCTGCAATCAAATGGGTGTACTAATGTACATGTAACAAAATGCCAAAACATGTTTACAAAAGTGGTAACCTATACCATCCCCACTACACCCTGTTTCTACCTAACCAACTACTCCAAAGTGACTAGATTTGCAGATGAAGAACCACCGCTTGCAGATGAAGAACCACCATCGTCTTTGTCATACACACCCTTTTTTAACTTCTGCAAGAGTATCCTCTCAGATGGTTTCCTTATTCTCGTAACCAATGGGACATCCTCATGTCCTTCATTATCACCTAAATTTCCTTCATTTTCAAGAACATGTTGTTGGTCATCACCATCTCCTTCAGGATTATTAACAGCTCCATCACCATCAGGATCATTAACAACACCGTCACCACTATGATGAACAACATCCTCACCACCATCAAGAACATCACCATCCAAACCAACATCCTCATCAGATGGGTGATCAGCAATGAAATCATTCACGACCTAGTTTAAAAATGCAATCAATGCAATGTCTTTCAGATCCACTTTTACCTTCTTTAGGAGAATATCCTCATATATGCCCTCATGAAACTCAATCACCCCATTATCGGATTGTGTTGCAACACTTGACTGTGATTTGGTTTGAAAGCTAGCCTCTTGTAAAATTTCATCCATCCCTTGTTCAATTGCATCAATCATTGATTTAAGCTCCCTACCAATACTAGAATCTACACCCACCCCTACCCCCACCACATCCACACACACACACCCACCCACCCCAACCCCCACTCACACCTACACCCCCACAAACACACACACACACACACAAACACACACCCACACCCACCCCACCCTTATAAACACACACACACACATCCACACACACCCCGACAAACACATAAGCACACCCACCCACCAAACACCACCACCACCATCACTACCCCATCACCAACATCACCGCCGCTGCCGCCACCACCACCGACTGTCATCACCACCACCGCCACCACCACCACCACCACCACCACCGTCGACACCATCATTGCCCCCCGCCGCTGCCCCCACCCCTACCTCCTACCACCGCTACCGTTTTCTAAAAATGAAAACCGATAGAAATATACACATCTAAACGCGTTTTCTAATTTTCTAAAACTGAAAATGAAAAATAAATAAGTTTTAACTAAACGCGTTTTCTAAATTTTCCAATGAAAACTGAAAACGAAAACGAAAACTGAAAAGGGAAAACGAAAAACGGAAAATGAAAATTGTTTTTCCGTAACTAAACGCAACCTTAGATTTTCAAAGTACAATGGCTTAATAGTGAAAGATTATAAGAAAAAAAGATCTTTATAGGTTATATTTTACAATTGTCTAGACATTCAAAGTACAATGTTATAATTGTCTAGATTTTTCAAGTATAGTGTCCAAGTAGGGAAAAAATAAAAGTAAAATGTCTAGATATGTTAGATTTTCAAAGTATAAAGTCAGTGTAAAGTCTTATGCGGTTAATGCAAATTCCAAATTTACCCTTCTGAGTATGTTTTTAAAATAACTTAATATAACATTTATTTTTATTTCAAATATACATGTGTCTCATCCTTATTGGTTGTTTTCGTTTTCACAGATCATTTCTGTTTTCGTGTGTGTGTGTGTGTGTGTGTGTGTATATATATAATAGGTTAGTTTGTAAAACACATTTTCTTAATAGGAAAAAAACTAAAAGTTCAACTTCTTAATTTAGATCTTCAAAATACAATGTCTTAATAGGAAAAAAAAATAGAAGAAAATATCTTGTAGGGAATGGCAGTTTCATTCCTCCCTCCATCTTTATTAAATGACCAAAATACCCTTGTTATATATTGAGATAGAGGGAGGACATTTGATAGCGCAAAGAGTTGAGAGTGCATGCCTTTTTGATCATGGTTGAAATTTGGACCTAATAATTCCAATAAAGAAACAAAACACCAGAAAGCTTATGAATCATTTTTCATGATGAATAATAATGGAGAGAGATCACTCATGCTCTGTGAGAAAAAAATTGTTTATTTCAATTATTAGCAAAATATTGTGTGTATAATAAAAAAAAAAACAGAAATAAATTAACAATCAAATTTAATATTGTTTGCAAGGTTCAGCCCTGGCACTGACGGCGTTAAAAAATGTTTAAATTTTTAAAATGACTGATTAGTTAAAGTAAAATGACTTTTTTTGCCCTAAATCATAAAAATCAAACCAAATTCAATCAACACCTAAAAATTAAAGAAAAATCAAGATCCAAAAATATAAAATAAAATAATTCTAACCTAACAATCTTTTTAGTTTACTGTTCATGGTATTGTTTTTTTTTTTTAATTTGTTGGTACCTTGGATCTTAATTTTGTTTTAGTTTTAGCTTAATTTTTGGGTATTGGTTTGATTAGAGTTTAAGATTAAAGTTGAGGAATTTTAGGTTTACAGGATGAAGGATAAAAAGAGAGGGACAAAATAGACATATTTCACTTGGATTTCACAAACATTTTGCAACACCAATAGTTCCACCATGGAGAAAACTTTCAACAAAACTATATTTTATTATTGACCACTTGTGCAACAAATGAAATATCTAGATGAAAACCATAACTTTTGAAATATCACAAGGACGAAATTGTAATTTAGTCTATAAATAATAATAGTGGCATGTTACCTGGCAATAACCGATATCAAAGTTGTAGAATGAGTAAGTCAACAATGAGCTGTCAGTCCTTACCTTAAAAACAAAAATAAAATACTTAAATAAAAAACCACATTTGAAATGTATGGTTATTTTCATACCACATCTTTCTCAATCAAACCCTTTCTTTCTCTAATTTTTGTAAACCTTTTATACTCTGCAAAATGAAATTGCAATAAATAAAATATTTGGGTGATAGAAGTTGGAAATTGCAATAAATAGTCATTTACCTGCTATTGGTTTTTGATAGTCATGTACTCTGATGTTTTAACTGAGACAACATACTGTTGAATCGTATGAATAAGATCCCACTAAGAATGCATAAGCCTGGAATTACATGTCATGAACAGATTTTAGTTAAATTAAGCCAAAAGGGTAAATTTCACCAAAATATAAAAACCTCTTTTTGCCCCTATAGAATATTGTCTGTTTTAAAGCATCTGGATCCATGACCACTGTATAACATAAATAGCATTATTTAAATTAATGTTTCTCTTAGAATATTATACGAGTACCCAAAAGGGCAACTTGCTTGGAAAAACAACATACTTTACTCTTTTTTCCAATATAGGCAATGTTCATTAGTTTTTACACATAGCAACATACTTACATTTTTTTACCAATAGAAGCAATGTATTTATCCATAATAGGAGCATACTTAAATTTTTTTACTGAAGTGACAAAATGGTTATTTTCATAAATTTAACATATAGGTGTCCACCCAGTTATCAAAGTGTTATGAAACCATGAAATAAGGACCAATATTCCCTTTTGACAATAAGGACATATTGTTTAACTGTAGCAAGACACTCCCAGACTCCTCCACTATAGAAGTAAAGAGAAGGGAATGATAGACCTGAAATCAGTAGAACACATTTAAAAAAATGATAAACATATTATCAGAGAATGTTAATAACAAATAAACAAGATCAAATTATAGTACAAAAGAATGTAAGAGCATACCAACGAATTGACTAGATATCAGAAAATGGTACTGATGACTAAGATACAAGATGTGGGCTTCTAAATAAAGTCAATGTAAAGCAACATGAACTGATGATCAAGTAACAAACTACTATCTGTTACTACTTATAATCTCCATTTTTGTTTCAATAAATTTCAGTTAGTGAAAAGAATAGCATGCGAATATATAATAATAATAATAATAATAATAATAATATAAGTAGTTAGATTTTCAAAAAAAGTCTTAACGGGAAAGAAATTTGAATTACATTGTTCTAATAGAAAAAAAAAACTAAAACGTCTCAGTAAGTTCGATTTTAAAAATGAAAACTAGGAAAATAATTAAAAGTATAACGTTATAACTTGAAGTATAATGCTATGACTGATTAAAATTTCAAAATACAAAGCGATTTCACTGCTTAATTAGTTAAACTTTTTAGAGTATAATCTCCTAATAAGCAAAATAATTGAAAGTTCGATGCTATAAATGGGTAGAGTTTTCAAAGTATGACACAGTAAAAAAAAAAAGATGAAAGTGCAATGCTATAATCGGGTAGACATCTAAAAGTATAATGTTCTGATAAGAAAATAGCTAAAAGTAGTATGCTATAATTGGGAAAAAAATTTCAAAGTACAAAGTCTTAATTACAAAAAGTAGAAAGTCCATTACTGAAATAGAAAGAAATGAAACTAGGATGCTACAAAAGACAAATAAATGAAAGTAAGTTGTTATCTATTGCATTTAGGCCTAAAAAATAACCTACACTTTTAGATAATATCAGACAAATATTCTTTAAAGTATGGAAAACTAAAAGGCACCCTTGTGCTAAAGAAATATTCTCTCAGACCACCAGATGACTTCATTGCATTCTTACACCTTGCAAAAACCACACACCTAATTGAGAATCAATAAGCCTTGCTGATTGAAAAATACATAAATTTATCTGGTTAGACATTTAGTTACACATCCGATGGATATAACATAACTTCAAGACTGCCACCATAAACATTTGCAATCAGATTTCCATGGGAAAGTACAGCCCCCTTACCTTTGGTGTAGGAAACAGAATAAGTTCCACTTAGGGTAAGAAAAGATTCAGCTTTAGTAGACTTGAAAAGAAAAAAAAAAAAAAAAGTGAATAAGAAATAGAAACCTTTCGTGTCCACTTGTAGCAACATCATCAGGTTCTGGTGGATGAAAAGGGTGATGGTTGTTGCTTCCCTATAAAGCACCAATTCATAAGGAAAATAGATCAGTAATCAGATGGCAGAAAGGTGTTCAAAACAATTTCAGATTTTAAAAGTAGAATGTATTAAAACTACAATGTCTTAATAGGTTACAGCTTGGAGGATAATTCTGCAATTAGTTTTTCTAAGTACAGTGACTTTATAGGAAAAATAATAAATGTAATATTACTCTAAAAAGATTGATAAATCATTCATATATTGTTACTTAATTATTGTTACAGAACCACTGATATTCGATAATGAAAATTGTTACCGAAAGTATAACAAAATTATCTATTAAAGTATTAAGATATGCTAAGGTAACAAAAATTGCAATACCTGATCCCGTTTCTTGTACAGATCACCACAAAGAATGAGATGAAATACTTACTTTCCTAACATAATTCGTTTATCTAAAAGGTAACAACAATAAGATGCTTGTTCAAGCATCACAGTCCTGCAAAAAATTGAAGTTTTTAAACAAAATTCTCATATATAATATTTTTATTCACAAACAAGAATTGATTATTACCTCATCAGAGATAAGAAAGTACACACAAACACCCTCTTTATATTGACCACTTGTTTTTAACATTTCCTTCCCTAATGTCCCAATTCACTGAATAGAAGCACACCTTTTTTTGATTGATTCAACATGAATTATGTTAATCCCATCATTTCCTGAAGATGATATAAATAAGCACAAGTTTTAGGAACAGAGGGGTATTTCTGGAAATACACAAACAGGGTCATAGGCTCATATAATATTTTGTAATCACTGGATAGAAGGGGGTAATCACCC